TTTTTGTGTATTGTAACACAAAATATAGCCCTTTTAAAATCGTACAATTTTTGGCTGAAAGATTTTTCCGTATCTTCCATATTTTTCGAGATATTTCACCGGTCCGGTACTTTTTCCTCATCCTGTATATTTTTTCATATTATATCATGTTGGGTTATAAACAATTGTGGTTGTTATAAACAATTTATTATTTTACGGCTATATTAATTATATTAATGCAATATATGTATATTTTATTTAATTTTTTACTACAAATTTTAATATTACATATGTATCAATATATTTTTAACATGTTAGTAATTTAATAATTAATGACACTTGTATTTATCATACTGGTGAAATCCTTTCACTTAATTATTTCATTTTGATTATTAACACTATCATTGTTCATTAAATTTTTTTATTAAGCCCGCTGCAGACGACGCTATTTTTCCTGCTGGATTGCTCGCGATTTACTAAATTACTAGGAATCCTGAGTGCTGAGTGGTGCAACGATGTTAATTTATTAGATTGCAAACACCCCAGCAGGAAAAATAGCACCGTCTGTAGCGGACTTTAAATATTTGTTTCATCAGAGAGATCATCAAGGTTAGAAAGAGAAACTCTGATGCATTACAGAGTACATGAAACAAGGATGGATTATAACATACCAACTTTTCGACACTAAATATTTTATTTTTCACAGTTGGGAGCCCTGGGAAACTGTAGCCACAAAAGAGACGGAGAGCGCAGATATTTAGAGAGAGACACCGTCGAACTGAGCACACCATGTTATCCCTTCCACCATGAACTAAATCCATTTTCGAACACATCCACTGTGGTCTGGGTCTTCATGAAAGTAGGCACTAATACCTTCTGTTCGCACATGTAAATGCTGCTTAATAAACCTTGTTCCTCGTGGCGGCGCTAGCGGCGTGGATACCGACAAGATGATCGCCATCTTGTTGAGTGCGAGAGGATGTGGTTTCGGTCAATCCCGTTTATTTTACTTATTTAGTGAATAAATTTGACATATCTGCAGCACGGTAACTCGCGACATTTCGCCGACATGACGCAGTACCTACCGCCGAATTTGCTGGCGTTGTTCTCGCCACGCGAGCCGATTCAATATTTGCCGCCTGCGAGCAAACTGCCGCATGAGAAGAAGAACGGCGGCTACGCCGGCGTCGGGTGCTTCCTCAAGTGTTTCGAGGTAAGAGCGTGTATATGTACACTTCTTTCAGGGTCGTCTGGTCGATCGCATTTATCATGTCCATATATTCCTCTCTCAATCTATCTGCCGCGTGTTTACACATGCAGATTGTTTCCTTAGGTTGCGTATAGACTGATCGTTTTCCATTCATACGTGGCTTTTATTGGAACTTCCGTTCAAGTTCATTCAAGCCGATAACTCTAATCTGATAAGTCTTTTAAATATGGATCTTTGTTACTATGTATAATCTGTATTTCTTGAATTTCAGCTAAGTAATGTTTTTCGCGGTCAATTCGCTTTCTTAACATTTAAATGAGTGGAAAAATTAGAAAAATAAAGCAGGATGCAAATTTTCATGTCAGAATTGTTGACCAGCGTAATCGACACGCGTCGGGAGCCTGAGACAAATTATATATAATTCAACAAGTAATCAAAGGAGGCCAATTTTTACGATGATAAAAGTTGGCGATATAATATATATTTAAATCAGTGTTGTTACAATTGAAATATAAGACAGCGTTTTATGGAGATTAAATATAACACGAGCGAAATTATTAATTAGTTAAATATAATTCATTTCAAAACGTTATATCGTTAGGCATATAATGTCCCTCTCGATAATCGTAAATGTTATCCATTTATTCTTACTTTGCAAATTTTTATTCTTATCATTAAAATCTTGTCATTTGAGACAACATTTTGTCCCCGTTTCTCTATTAATAGAATCTTCTTTTGCAGGATCCCAAGGATACTCCACCACCTCTGCGTGTAGAGACTCGAGAAGAACGTATGGAACGTCGACGACGAGAACGCGCGGAACAGGTTGCATATAAATTGGAACAAGAAATTGCAGTATGGGATCCAGCTGGCATTTCCAACGTTACAGCAGACCCCTTCAAGACTCTGTTCGTAGCTCGAATTGTAAGTGTTATTTATGTAATGAGTACATAATTTATGCTATCACAGGGAATACATTAATGTATACTTACATATACTTAACTTATAATACTTAACATATATTTTTTCTCTTTTTACAGAATTATGACACCTCAGAATCCAAACTGAGAAGAGAATTTGAAGTATACGGACCGGTAAAAAAGGTACATATTTTTTTTCTGCAAAATAAGCCTTTCTATTCTTTTACAAGAATTTAATAAAAACAGTTAAGGTTCACGTTACTGAATTTTTCTGTTACTCTTGCAGATTGTGGTAACACATAATACAATTAATGGCAAGCCTAGGGGATATGCTTTCATTGAGTATGAGCATGAACGAGATATGCACTGTAAGTAGCAACAACTTAGAAAGGTAAAGAAAGAAAAAGAAATGTTACTCTTATCGCGAAGCTCAATGAGCCCCATATAGTCTGGAATTTCATCTTATTTAGCGTCACTTCCAGCTAGATATTACGGGGGCAGGGCTATAGTTAGGCTACTCATTTTCATTGGTACTTAAAGTAGACGGTACCGTTTGGGGAGGGGGGTCCCCGCCATACGCACACTCTCACGCAGGAATACCGTACTGTAAAATGCATAAATATGGTAAAAGCGAAACGAACGAACGAACAAACAAAAACAAACGACGTGAACGTTTATTGGCTGTCTTTGATTAATGCAGTTTTTATCTTGTTCTTGGTACAGCGTGGTGGCCGCTGCCGGCAACTAGTGCCGTTCACTATTCCATGCAAAATCCCTGAACCTGCCTGATAAGATAGGTTTGTATGTGTGGTAAGATCCAACATACAACAACGTTTGTTAGCGTCTACTTGCTTATCCTATTTATCGTGTCTGATTTTGTCGAGCAAACGCGCGGTTTCAATCGGACTATAACGGGCGTCCATGACGACACCCCCGCAGGACGCTCTTTTTACGGGATTTTCCAACCCGGGATTTTGATTATATACATATGTACATTTGGACGACGTTTTTTTTCTCTTAGAACGTGTCCCAGTAAAAGGACTTGATGGATTCGTGGATCTATGGATTCCCGGATTCATGTTGTTTTAACCGGCTCGTAGAACATCTACAGGTCGTGAAACTTACGGACATTTAGTATCTACGGATCCAAGAATCGCGTGAAAGTTAGCATTCTACATTGAAATTGATTGGTGGGCCTTTAGGATGAAGGTTCAGGGACACACATTACCCATTTATATTGAATACAATGAACATGTAGATCAGACTATTTTGTGCGCACATATCTCTCGTTTCGTAGACACGAATAGCAGGATATCTCGCAATTGACACAACCACTGTAATTCTGTGGCTTGAAGGTAGAAAAATTGGCATGTAAACAGGCGTTTATTTCTACCCTCATGTCGTAGAATGGCATTAATTCTACCACGATGTTAACATCCTAAAATGAATTTACATCCGGCGATACGTATCGTTGTACACTCACGTGCGTCTAGCCTACGCGCTTTTTCTAACAATTTTATCGTTAGGTGCATTTCGCATTTTTTTTTCTTTATTGGTTGTTACACGCGGCAAACATTTTTGCTGGTACGAAAGTGCCAGTAAAAAGCTAAAGGCTAGCTAAGACGGATTTGGACATTCCATCGCGAAATGTAGGGATTAAACTAATTCCCGAATAGCCGCGCTATGATCGACAATCGTTAAATACATAAAATATATATAATTTTCTCGATTTGGTAGACGTAGACACAGGATTTGCATGAAAGTCGAAGCTGGAAAGCGTAGTATAAAGTATGCGATAAGATCATTTGTCTGAATATACTTTAATATTATGGTTCAAGGATGTCCGATTTTTATCCGATATCTGCTGGGAAAAAGAAGTTGTTTACTATTTAACAGTCCTTGAACATATCAATTTCGATATAGAATACTAATTTCCTTTATCTCGGTATCGGTATCTCGCAATGTCACCTCTTGCTAAAAAATGTGAATCTCGGCTGGCGCGTACGCTGACGCAGCACTTGCGATTGTAGAATCGGTGGATCCTGATTTTTTTTTCCCGAATCGTCGAAATTGTAGACATCTGGCTTCCATTGATTCTAAAACTCGGATCCCGCGATATATCCGAGACCTCCGAGACTATCTAGAATACTGTAGGCTTTGATCTACAAAGCTGGATCTTTGGATCTACGATCGTGTAATATGCGACGCGGGAAATAAACGACCAATAAACGACACCTCTCTCTCTCTCTTTCTCTCTCTCTTTCTTTCTCTCTCTTTCTCTTTCTCTTTCTCGAGTCAGGGAGATATCGAATTAGTGGAGCGAACAGGCACACTTGCCTTTAACATTACGCTAAATGTAACTTACTGCTAGATCACTGTAACACGTATCATAAGTATAAACGAAAATGCGCACGGTTTGGCCGTAAGTAGAACGAAATGAAAGCGCACCAGGTAAACGCAATGTAAACCTCTTCGGAGATTGAACGAACGAACGAACGTATGAAGAACTGGGCATCTTCGCAATGAGTAGTCTCCTCGCGAGTCTCTTACGAGTTCATTTCACGATTAGACCGTACCTCTAAGCTTTGTGTTAACTTCCGTACGTAAGTAGCCGCGGTAGGTATTTTTTGTATTTGCTATACTTTTTTGGATCTTAAACAAGTAGTTTTAAGCTGCTTTAAAATCCGGAGCGTCACTCGCTTCCGATCGGCGCGCAGTTGCGGCTAAACGGCCTGCGACGCGTCCTCGTTTTACGTCGTAAAATGCAACTCGGGACACTAAAATCTCGCATCTTGAGAATCAAACGCTGCGTACCCTAGAACCGTCGAATGAAACGATATTTCCTAATGGGCCGAAACAGATCTTGATATACGTCACTCGACTTACAAACGTATGATTGTAGTATAGTTTTCACTTAAAGATCTAATTCTCAAATTTATACGAGAAAGCACACTCTCTGTCTCTCGATTAATTTCCAGCTCGTTTCAATTCTATTTCCTTTCACGGAGGTTGTTCCACGAATTTCGCGCGATATGGCGAAAATCTCGTCTTTTTTTTGCAATTCGCAGAAGTATGTGATATTTCACGCCGATATATCCGATATCAAATATTTCGTTTTCATTTTACCTGGTAAAACGACACACGCGGCGCGTGCTGGTAAGCGGATGTGCGCACGATCGGCCGCAGCTCGTATCATTGCCTCGTTCCCAACATCGTCCACAATGTTCAACAAATAATCGTAGTCTGATTGATCCTGCCGCGACAATTGTCGTCGGCGATTGAGATGGAGATATTTCCTCAGTACTTTAGCAAGTACCTCTTCTCGAGATCCCCCAGCGAGACGGTGTAATGTCATTATTGACTTGAGATTCGTGACTCTTTTCCTAGGGCTTATCGTTCTTTTCTTTCAAACGAGTGCGGTCCGCATTCGACTTTTATCCTGCAATGTTTGCGGACAAGTTTCAGTCGATTCTCTTCCTTTCTTCTTCTCACGATTTCCCCCTATTTGAATAGATGTCTAGAACGTTTCTTTGAGAAGAAGTCTGCGGAACCGACGATTCTCTTTGTGCGCTTTAATAATAAGCACAATTCGCGGATTGGAGCATTCACGTGTCAAAGAACTGTTTCATTCTAGAATTGAGGCCAACATTTATGGTCCTTGCAACTCACAGATTCTCGAAATCACGGATATAGACTAGAAATTTCATTAGTCCAGATAGTCCGCGAATCCGAGAATCTGTGTTGAGGCCAACATTTCAGTTGACCATTCGAGACTTTTTCCGAGGTTCCGTAGATCCGAAAATTATTGGACCACAGGATTCATGGTTCAATATCGGGGCATTTCTAGAAGCTATCTCTTCGAAACTCTCTGAGTCTTGGAATGTACATTCGAAGACCTGGTGGATTCGAGGATCAGTGGCATGGAGACGTTGCGAGAATCGTGGAATTTTTGCCTATGAATGAACGATTCTCAGATCCAGCAACGCCCGATTCTAATATCCAGACAATTTTAGGATCTTGATATCGGTCAATTCCAAGATCCGCAGGAATCATCCCATTGTTAGGTTTCTCGGAGTTCGCCCTTTCGTTGGGACGTAGACTTCGTAGACTAATCATTTAGGCGCATGGAATTCACTGGCGAACAGTAATTTCTGATCGGTATCTTTTAGCTGCATATAAGCATGCGGATGGTAAGAAAATAGACGGCCGCAGAGTATTAGTGGATGTCGAGCGGGCGAGAACGGTGAAGGGTTGGCTGCCTCGGAGACTCGGCGGCGGCTTAGGTGGTACTCGTAGAGGCGGTCCGGACGTTAACATCAAACATTCAGGACGGGAAGATAACGAGAGGGAGCGGGAGCGATATCGCTTGGAACGTGAGAGAGAAACCACGGGACGTGGTCTGGATAGAGACAGGTGAGTAGAAAGGAGTGAAATAATGATTAATAAGATGTAAGAGAGATCTATCTGTAAAACTTGAACGCTAATCGTGTTTCAGAGATCGCGACCGTTTGGACAGGGAACGTCGCAGGTCGCGCGATCGTAAGCGAAGGACTCGGAGCAGATCGCGTGAACGCAGACGCAGGCGAAGCCGCGACCGCCTGCCCGATCCCGATATCGAGGAGATTGAACGTCCACGCGACAGGAGGGAACGTGATCGCGACCGTGATCGGGATCGCAAAAGGCGACGGTCGCGTAGCAACGATCGTGATCGCGAGAGGGATCGTAAACGGGACAAGCGGGAGCGGGATCGTGACCGTAGGGACAGAAAGGATCGCGGCGATCGTCAGGACGAGGATACGAAAGAGATTCGCATTAAGGAAGAGCCGTTGGATGGTAAGCTTGATGGGGAGATAAGTCACGACTCCTTTTAAAAAGGTCAACGAAAGAACGAACATGCGAGTGTTAAATTATCTTTCAGATTATCCAGACTACAGCAATACATTTGCGACGTCGGGCTCGTACTTCACCGCAGTCAAGTACGAAGACGATAACGATCAGGAAGTGGAGGAGAAATACCGGATTCCGGAGGGTCGTCCCGACCCGCCTCCATATAACAATTACGATTCCGTACAAGATTATTAATCTCGAGCACACATTTCTATCGTACGAGTATCCCTTTTTTCACGATAAGCCATCGTCGCCTTATTTTATCGTTGTATTGTCTTTACTGCTAGCACAATACTGGCGAATTAGCTCTTTATAGGAGCGAATCAAGCTGAGCGTTCTTCAATTATAATAAATAATTTGGTCAACTACGATGTCGTAAAACAGGTACAGGTAATTCTGTAAAATATTTAATTTCCATAGAACTGCTAAAATACGAGTACGTCAAATAAAAAACATTACATTATGATAAGAAACAAAAGATATGAATTTACATTTAGCAAATTAAATTCTGACATAAAAGATCGTTGAAAAAGATTTGACACATTGCTATATGTGACATGATATAAAAACTGGTAAATGATGTACAAATCGCTTTCTCGTTTTAATAACATTGAGTTATTATAATGGAATTTACCAGAATTAATTATATACATATATATATATATATATATGCAATTATTTATGCAAATTTAAAGTACTCACGCATCTTTTTCCTCCCTCTTTTTTGTACCTGTCACTGATAAAGTTCTATCTACAATATAAAGAAATCTTCGACATCATTAATGAATTAAAGTGTAACTAATAAATTGTAGCAGATCATGTGAAGCCTCATGATCAAATTCATAATTGATTGAATACCATGTACTATATGTTGTTCAATAAAACATGTAATTTAAGTATCGGTCTCGTCTACATGTATACGTAACTGCGCGTGCGAAACACACACAAAATTTGACTTATGACTGCTACATGTATATTTATATGTCGAGTAAAATAAAATATGAAATTAACTTGTTACACACATGTCCTGTTTTTCGTCCTGCGTGTCAAATTGTGTCCGGGTATTAATTCTCTAGCTCGAAATAAAGACTTTCGAGCGTAATGTAGAGCGGAGGATAATGTCGGGTCGCGAAATGAAACGCAATCTTGATTTTATACATTGCTCTGCAATTCTGCCAATCGATTCGTACGAGTTTGATCGCTTGATATGCCAGAACGCCACGCGAGCGTCAAACGATTTCGCAAGCGAAACAAAAGTGCGATCGATTAACGCGGTTTAAAGTAAACGAATAAAATGGTAATGAGGAAATAAAAACGTTTGTTCTCCTATTTTCTCTCAAATATGATTTTTAATCGAAAATCCTTGACTAAGTTGTCACCGTACATGAATTATTTAATAACTCAATTAAATATTTTTTTAATTACAAATGTACACTGAAACATTTTTATTTTACACGTAACGGGATGATTTTTTCAGCTCGCTTATTTTTGATACTTTGAGTATTTCTAAGTCTATTGATTTCCAATGTCCGATAACAATATGCTAAATTTAAGAGATTATAATATGTAATTTATAAGTGACGGCCTTTTCTTATTACATAAAAGGCCATGTAACACCATTTTTTCAACTAATACCTATTGCGAATTTTTTATCGCGATATTCCTACTAACTGCCCGATATGTACATTAGAGATTGCCTTCCGGAAATTGCAATCTCTTTCCCTTCCCTCTCTCATTCCCACCTTTTCGTGCACCTGTCCAAACTGCACCATGATCCATCGCGTTTGTAATTTTTAAAAATTTGCGAGAGCGAATTGCTCGATCCTGCAATATACGAGAACCTTTTTTTAATCTTTTTCATTATTCTCAGCAGAATTTCCATCATGTGGATCGTATAGAAAATCTTTTTTTATAAAGCGAGTCTACTTGAACTTGTATATCTATGAGGAAGATTTGGGAGCTAAGTAATGACAGAATACAGTAAAACAGAAAAATTTGCATCGTAAAAGTAGATTAATTCGATAACTAATTCCGACAGTAAAGAACTATATTTAAGTATACTCACGGAGAAAGGTACTCGTTTTACAAGCATTTTTACGGTTGATACCCAATTTTTCTACAAAATATCTGCTTCCCCGTTCTGATGGAATGTTTCGGAGAGATAGCTCGAGATAGTCTCGATGATCCCTGGAGATTCTCTGGGTTGATGTTTAGTATTCCGGCAGCGGAAACGATACCTATAGAGCAACGTGTAAGTTGATACAACGCATCCCGCTGATAGAGTTAGCCGAATGGACGAACGGATAGCAAGGTAACAGGGTACGAGGCAGATAGCAAATATATTATGTGCATGTAGAATGTTATAAAGTCTGTACGCACACTTTCGCGCTTTCTATTTTCTTGAAATTTGTATTTATAATGTGCAAAGTGAAGTAAAAATCGATATCAAGCATGCGGGATATTTATAATCCTTTATCTAACGTGTATTATCCCGGGGAAATCTTCTAAGATGTGTCTTTATCATATAACACGTAAGATCGTTTATAATAAAACAAATGAATTTGCTCATTTATCACCATTTTGTCTCGGATACTAGTCAAAGTAAGACGTACGATTATTTGCGCCCGCGCGATTAATTATAATTGAGTAATCGATTAGTACGTATGATGAAGTGTCTGTCACGACCATTCAACAAGCAAGTATTTTTCGGGTCGAACGGATAGTAGGTATTATTTATGGAAAACTGCTAGAGGCAGATTTCGGTAAAATTGGAAAAACGACTTATCTTCGATTTATTATAATTAACAAGTTCAATTGTTTATTGTAACTAATTTGCAAACTTGATAATTTTTATTATAAAGTATATTTATTAATTCAATCTTTCAATTTCACAGCAGCCCCGAATCGTATACTCGAGTGATACAGTAATTTTTGCCGACTCAACTAGAATACAAACCTTAAAGATTATTACACACGTACGTTATCTCAAAATTCGACTGTTGCGTCGCTTTCTCGAACTAAAGATGAAAAATTTAGTATTTCTCAAGATAAGCTTCATTCAACTTCCATGATTCGCGACGTTGCAAATAACATTGTGACTCTTAAGATTTATCTTGACTATTTCATGCCTCAAGACATAGTTTCAGCTGAGTTTCTTGGCAGAAACGCGACGGTGTCAGTGTCAGCCATGTCGAATTATACGACAGGATCGTGCGGCATATTAGTAATAACTCGTTGTCTTCATGTATTATGTATCGTAGTGAACAAATTTACGACAGCGGTAAAGAAGGGGAAGGTGTGTGTGTGTGTGTGTGTGTGCGCGCGAGTCAGAGACGGGGAGAGAAATAGAGAGATTGATTGATTGATTTTTATTAGCTTTCTCAACTATTTGTAATATACATTAATTTACTTCTTCTTCTTCTGGTACTTTGAGCATTTGGTTTTTTATTTCATCTTCGGTAGGCTGCTAACCCTTGCCGAAGAAAACCTCCAAGCATAAAAGGACATGTGTGGCAGAGTACTCTCGGTGGTTACCATTTCTCTTCGGGAAATTCTAAAAAAACGGCGCCATACTCGCCCCACCATTAGTTTACATTCTTTATAATATACTCTTTCAACATTTGTTTAAACGGTTCGATTTTCTCGTAAAACTTGAAAGAAGGAAAAGGAGAGAGAGAGAGAGAGAGAGAGAGAGAGAGAGAGAGAGAGAGAGAGAGAGAGAGAGAGAGAGAGAGAGAGAGAGAATAAAAGATTTGAATAGTGTTTCCAGCGGGCACACAAAAATTATCACTGTAGGATCAAGTTTGGCGATATTTAGTCCGGAAAAGGCAAATAATAAATTTCAGAGATTTTCCCTCCAGTTATCGAAACTCGAGTCATTCGGGACTCTTCTCCCTCGTATTCTTTCATATACAATCGGTCATTTACGGCCGCTCTCGCATATACGATTTTTTTCAGCTTTTCCGCGTGGCGAAGAATGGCAGGGTCACGAGGGCATATAACGGAGCGTGTACGACGACCAGCAGCGTGGTGTTGCGCCGAGGGGATGGAGCGGAGGGTGGAGGTGAGTGGGCGGGAAAGGAAGGTTCTCGCGCCGGGAAGGGACGGCGAGAGGTAAGCGATGAAGCTGGGGGATAGGGAGAGAGGGTGAACCGGCAGTCCGGCAGGTAGCTGAAGGGTGGAGGGCGCGATGTGGGCGACTGGCGCGCTCTCGACCGTGGGGGGGGGGAGGGTGGCGCGCACAGGAGGAGGTGGCAGGCTCTGCTCTGGTGCGTCAGAGCCTGCAGTGAGCCCGGCAGTGAGGCGAAACGTTGGGCTCCGCGCGGGAGTCTCGTGGCCGCCCGTTTCTCTCGAGGGTCGGGGTGCCTTTTCCCCACGAACCATAATTTACACGCCACACCACGCTACCCCCCCTCGCCGCCACCACCGTCGCCGCCGCCGTCGCCGCCGCCATCAGCCCCCTGTTTTCCCGTCCGCCCGAGCCCTGTCCTCTGAGCACCCCTCGCCGGTTTGTCGCGTCGCGAAATTTCACGCGTTTCCGCGAGGCTGTTTGTGATAAAAAAGGAAGCGCGCCGGCACGCATGCACGACTTCCGGTAGGCAGCCCTCCCGAGATGGTCTCGGCTGTAGAAGTCTCGTGGTTAGATCGCGCGGTAGCCACGGGGGCGAAATTGGCAACACGCCGCTTCGCCCGTGTTCCTCCGCGGCGAGAGCGTCGCCTCGCGGGGGTGCGGACACCCCGTGGATGGCACGCGCTGGATGCTGCGAAACCGGCCGGAAGACTTTAACGCTCCGATCGAGCGTCGGGCGATGCCGGTTGTAATTCGAGATCGTTGATGATCATAAATAATGCTCGTTTCCTTTCGTCGGAGTATCGTTCACTTTTGCGGATTCAAGGTTCTAAGAGAGTGCGTGATTTTCCAACCATTTTTTTTCAGATCTCTACGCGAACGTCGCGTAGTGCAAAAGTTCTAGGTCCGAACGTTGCATTTAGGATATCGTTGTCGAGCGAAGTGTCGCATTCTCGAACGGCGATTCTACCGACGACTGTCGAAATCATGTGGAATATTTCTTTTGATTCGCTGGCCGGGAATCGAGAGACAGCGTCGTCGTTATTACCGCATAGATATGTCACGAGACACGGTGGTGTCTCGCGCCAAGTATAAGCGCGGCTAGAACCGCGCGCGCTAGACCGGCCGTGTAGTTTACGCGAGTACGCGGGTTGACAGGCCCGCAGATTTTCGGATCTCAATAAAAGTGTCTCTATTTTTCTCCCACGTGCCCCCCCCATGAGTGTTTACGTATACACGCGTGCGGAATAACAAGTTTAATTACTTGTTTCGCACCTGCCGGGATGCCGCGAGGATCACGCGAGGCCGAATGAGAACTGTCGCGGCGGATCTTCCTGGGATTCGGGATACAAAGGTCGAATGCGCGAGGGATGAACGATTTGAAATTCTTGATCCGATGCCGGATCACTCAATGCTCGGTGTCGTTGAAGGGTCTTCTCGAAAAAGGAATTGAAAGTCTGCGGGAGGAGCGTAGTGTCTTCGAGGTCGAAAGTTCACGAGGACTGCGACTGCGGCTGCTCGTACGCGTGACTGATCCCCGATGATCTCTGACGTTGACAGTTTATCTAATTTTAATTGTTCAATTATGTCGAGCGTTCAAAGTTTATCCGTGCGTGCATTTTGCTCACGTTCTATTTATTTGAAATCGAAGGCTCGAGCGACAGTGTCGTTATTTGAGACTTGCAATTCGTCCGGTTGCAGTTTTATCGAAATTTTAGTTTTAACTCGATCGTCATTAAGTGAATTGCATTAGTCGCTCGCACGACTGCAACGTGTCCGCTCTAAACAGCTTAATATCTTGAAACAGATTAATTCCAGTCGGACACAACGAATTTCTCGCGAGCTTTCACCGAGCCGCCGCGGGCTCGGTGCAAGCCCCAAGTTTAGGTGTCGGCGGGTCTGTCGCGCAAATATAGCTAGGCAGCGCATTAAGAATTCACGAGAGATT